TGAACTCGAAACACGGGAGATTTACAAATTCGTGCTAGCTGATGAATCGACGCCTGCCAATATGCGTCTGAGAATATACTTCTATCGGCCACAACCTCGTGCCTGTTCGGCCGTGCCCTTGACGGTCATAGTCGAGTTAGTCGTTGGGAGCGGGCTTTGCAGAATAGTTCCACATTTTAGTGAAATTACTTCAATTCTGCACGTTCATGTTACGTAATGTGGGATTAAAATGCATTTGATGTGACCGAAGTGGATTCAAAAACCGTTGGGTCATGCCAAAGTCTGTGGCCGAAAAGCCACTATCAGTGAATAGGCAACGCGATATTTGCGTGAATAGACCGCCAGACGTTAGACGCTTTCCGGCAGAAAGTCCGCACTTATTGCCGCGGACTGCTTTTTTCCCTCTGAACACATGACCAGAAGCTTCACGTAAACCCTACAGTTGCCTCTCAGTCTTGCGATCAGGTTGGCATATATTCCATTATTGTTTCTGCGACCGCATCCGGTAATGGGTTCAGATGAGTATCCGAAACCTCAGGTCAGCATAGTTCTTGTTCCAGCGATCGCATCTTATTTACGGCCGTGAAGTTTCCATTCGTGCTGCATTTCATCGATGAATTTATTGATTCTGCTTACAAACATAAAGCACTCCACTTCCACTTTAAAATGTATGAGCCTTGTATGGAAGCGTTTTAATAATATTTATATATTCCTGATTTTGCTTGCACGGAAAAGCCCAGTTGGTAGTATTTAAACCCTAAATGCGAGTCTGGCAGCAGGTAGAATCAAAAACTGTTCGGGAATCGAAAAAGTCTTTAAAAATTAAAAAATAATCTTTTTTCCAAGGTAGAATTTAAAGAAGACAGGCCCGTGGTCCAGTGGTTAGAAGCGCGGACTTCTAACTAACAGGTTGCGAGTTTGAGCCTAAAGTGTTCCACACTTCGGATTTGGGTATGAGTGACTGACCATGGCTAATAAGCCAGAAATGGCCATTCAAGTCTCCCTTGTCTTTGTCAATAATACTATTCTACGTAATTTTTGGTCAAATGGGCTGACAAACGGATATTTCCCTGTTTGTTTCCTATACAGTAAACTGCCAGATGTGAATATGCAGCCGCACACACAGTAAACAACACCCAGGCACCTATAATACGGGACCAGTGGTAATAGGGGTTTTTACAGATGGGACGGTGGAACGCACAAGCGACGAGGTAAAGCAATCGTATGCAAAGAGAAGTTACTGGGAATGCGCGCTTCTACTTTGAGTGGTTAGGAAATAGTTGCCCAAACCCTAACTCCAACCGCTAATTTTAATCCCTAACCACAACCCCTAACTCTAACTCCAAACCCTAACCATTATCCCTAACCTTTAAACATAACCCCTGACCCTCACCCCAATAGTATGGTGTCCATCAGATGCGGCTGCTTAACCGCATCTTAGCAAATAAACCTACATTTATAAGCGCGCCAAATATCAACGGGAAAATCCATACCAATGAAACAGTCAATGTTGCATACTGTAGTATTTATATGCCGCCGGACAGAACCTCGTTCAAAAGCCAGCACCCTTACGTGACTGGAATATCTTGAGATCAGTCTGCAAAATAATTAATGTCAATACCCTACTTAAGTTATATTTTCGAGTTTAAAACACAATACAGGATTTCAGTCAACATTTCATGGGGTAGCACAGTCACTGTACTTACGCGCGTGAGAATATCGGACAAACATCCTATTTCCCTCCTCCCAAGCAGTGGCGGACTTTTGACCCATTTCCGCCGATCGATAATAAGGTACTGTCTTGCGCCTGGAGTGGTATGAAATCCCCTCAGTCTACATATGTTTATTACACTCACAGTATTTAGGGCCACACGCACTATTTAAGCTCTGGTTTTTTAACTCTCTAAAAGGTCGAGGTGAATACAAACCAATTGACAGTCGATTTCACAAGAACTCAGTAGGTAGAACACCTGGCGTGGAATCAGAAGATCAGCGCTTCGCAGCGAGCGTTGTTCGGCCGTATGTCTCGCTTGACCATTCTAGTCTGTCTGTCCTGACTGTTAAACAACCTTAAGGCCGGGCAAATAAAGTAACCTTGGACAGCGTGACAGCGAGAAACTCCACATCCGAATGGGTTGCTGACAGCCTGCTGAAGCCTGCGTACTTCTCAATTCCTCACTCGCGGAAGGAAAATCTACTCTGCAGTGGGCAAAGGAATGGCGCGCCAGTCCATGAATTTCTCCAGTGATGGAGCTTAATAGGGAACTATACACCAGAAGATTGGTGCAAGGGCTTTAACCTGTTCCCGTCCTCTTCGTTTGCCGCTGAAACACAGTCAGATTTCTCCATGAGAGCCAGTGGACTCGGTAAAAGTCTGTCATACCAAAACGGAGTAGGTTTCCGCATTCTACCAGAAGGAACCCTTTGATCGCAACAGCTTCCAAATTTTGCAACACTTTTTATTCTCACACATCAAATACAGTTTCACGATATCTTGTTGATATATGCCGCCTAAGTTTTCCTGGCTCCAGTATACTGAATAAACGTTCAATTTGAGTTTTTTACTGCTCAGCCGTTGACCTGGAGGTTTGTTGATTCAAGCTTTTTTCTCCTGTCTCTTACTGCTCACTTATCATTTCCTGAGTTGTTAGAAAACCAATATCTGTGCATCTAAACGCACAACAGTAGGTAAAGACACACATAGGCTTATCACAGCTCCAAAAAGTGGATTTTGAGGCAGTTTAAAATGTACGCTTCATTTTTCATAAGCTTAAATATTTCCAGCCGCAGGCGGAATCTTGAAGATTTGATCCTCTGAGTGGTGCGAGAAGGTGACTGACGGCCTCTGAGACGTTTTTGATCTGCGGGATCGCTCGCCGTACATCCATCCCACGAACCAAGAACGTCTCGGAGGCCGTCAGTCGTCTCCTTGCGCCAATTTGGGTTGGCGTTGAAAACTGACCGAAAGCAATTATTAGGCGTCAGATGATGAGACCAAAAGACCTACTGCCGCGGCAAGAAACACCTGGGGTCTTTTACCGGGGCTGGGGCAGTTGCGAACCAAGCAACTACATCGGAGAACTTGGAAGACAGCTCCGGACACGAATCGTCCAGCACGCAGCAGGGTGCGGAGAAATGACACCGACACTCAACTCGCGACCCATTTGACGAGACTACGCTACAAATTCCAGTTCGAGGAGGCGGAAGTTTTCGCGAGGGGTGATAATCACGTCGGTCGCCAGTTGCTTGAGTCATGGTTCAGGGGATCCCAGTCTGTCAACATGTACGACGAGATTCCCACTCCATATTCGATGCTGTGACATAGTCTGGCTACATTAATTAACCACTCGGGAAGTGAGCAGGCTGATGGCTAGGCCATCATGAAGTAAGAGTGATTAGATTTCAGCAATTAACAACTTGGATGCCGGTCCTCAAGCAATTAGCGCACCAGCAGGCAACAATTCTTGATGGAGGGAGGAGCTGCCACGGCAAGAAACGTTTGGAGTCGTTTATCAGATCTGGTGCAGTTGGGAACAAACAACTACCTCGGAGAAACCGGAAGACAGCTCCGGAAAGAGAATGGCCAAACATGCTGCAACGGTGCGGAGAAATGATGCCAGCTCTCAAGTTGCTGCTCATTCGACGAGATCCGGCCACAAATCCAAATTCGACGAGGAAGAAATTCTCGCTAGAGGTGACAACCGCATGAACCGGGAGCTGCTTGAGTCATGGTTTACTGGCCCCCAGTCTTTTAACAAGTTCTATGATCTCCCCCTTCCATACTCGTTGCTGAGACTTCGCCTAGGCGGATTAATTGACCACGCGAAGAGCGCACAGGTGAAGAATTTTCCCAACACCAGGGTCGGTGAATCAGATGGACGAGAAATCATCACACCAACATCCAGCGCCCGTGATGAGATTGCAGCAGTTAACGACGCAAATGTCGGCCATCAAGCAGTCACCAAACCATTGGCAACGAACTCGGATGAGGGGGGGGGGGGGGAGCCGTAAATATTCATAGGTATGCGGTAGCATGGCGACTGCATCCTATAAATACTGCAGCTCCTTTTGCATGAACCACTCATATTTTCTATTGTATCTGATGATGGGTTCGAGCAGGAATCCAAAGAGTCAGGCTAATAAAGCTCTTGTTCCAGCGATCGTGTCACATTCTTCAAGGGAGGAGCGGTTAATTATCATAGGTATGCAGTAGCATAGCGACTGCGTCTTATAAATACTGCAACTTCCTTTGGACGAGTCGCCCCTATCTGTCGCTGTCTTCGATGATGGGTTCGAGTGAGAATCCGAAACGTCAGGCGTATAAAACTCTTTTTCCAGCGATAGCCTCTACTTCTTATCAACTAGTTCCTGGAACTCGCATCTCCCCTTGTATCTGCTCTTTAAATCATTTAAAGCTCAGCACAGTAATGGTTTTGTCAACGAGGGTCTATTATGAATTATGGTGAAGTAATCCTGAGTAGTGTTTATGTGAAATATTATGTTCGTAAGACACGTGACTCGGGGAAACTCCATGCTAGTGAATGATAGATTAATCAGTAACGGGTTAGAAATAATCTTAAAAAGTTTCTCTGGAGATGTATACGCACACTATATCGCCAGTGTCATAGTAAATTTCCAATTTATTCGCACGTCTTTTAACGATCCAATAATTGAAAACAATGGATATAACTTTACATGTTACGCAGCCGACAAGGTGGAAGCGCATTATGTCCAAGTATGTATAAAGTAACGATGAAAATAACCCCAATATCAGTAAACAAAAGTTATCGCGGAAATCAGAAGGACAATCCAAGTGCATAAACATGCCTATTACGCAGGACCCGGCTTTTACGCCGATATTTTTGGTTGTCATGAGAAACCACTGGGATGCAGGACTGGGTGCCTTTGATTGGCTACTGCATTAGGGATAAAATTTGCTCAGGAACATTATATATTCCTCGTTGCCTTTCATCACTGTCTTTTGACAAAGTAAAGTGATCATGAAGACGGGTTCTGCTTGGATTGCTCTTATCGCCACTCTGTCCTGCGCACGCACCGATAACTTCGATGGAATTCAAAACGACACGGACCGCATGAATGTCACTTTCTCGGTCTGTAAGTGCTTTGTTTGGATCAAAAAAGACGTTTCGGATGGGCGTAATTCTTTTGTATATTTTGTTATTCTTTAATAATGCCTTCTGAAGAAAGTGTGAACTGACCAGTTTCTTTTTAGTGCGATTTACCTTTATGCCCATGCAGTCATGAAAAACGAAATTATGATCTAGTGCCCATTTTCCTCAAACTTCTTTAAGTGCATAGAAGAATGCTATTTCAGGCTAGAAAAATCCGCAGTCGCGCCGTAGTGAGGAAATTAATATCCAGTCCATTGGTATTTTCTTTGATATTCGCCAGCCTTCATAACTTTGAAGGGCTACGTGCGAAAAAGTTGGCAAAAGTCGTTCGCGTGCCCCCGACGTCTTCAAAAAGAGAACCGAGATGAATATCTCCCAATCACAGACAAGACTGACAGCTTCTGTTCGATTTTAAATAAGTCGATGGGGATATTTCGTTTATCGTACAAGCTATTGTGCTTACATATTTTGGATAGCCGAATATGCTTGGCACGAATGAAGAGTTTTAATATTGGTTTCTGAAAATCTACCTAAGTATTTATTCGGTGCTTTACCCAAAACCACAGCTGCTCGGTAAATTAAATATTAAGAAGGAGATTTAATTTTTGGGACAAGAATGTTACTCCACAGGAGACTTGGATCAACTCGCCTGTTCATATATATCGACTGAATGACCTATTTGCCGCATTTAAAGGTACGTGATTAAAAATATGATCGATCTTTCTTTCTATATAAATAGTCGAACAGGTTGTACATGTCATCCGAGGAAGGCTGAACTTCTGCGGAATACCCGGAACGCGGCTTATTAGTAGTAATGATATGCTGACCTACCGAACTCGTTTTACAAACAAAAAATTTAGTACCTCAAAAGCAGGCCAATTTTCACTCTCTTTAAGGCAGCATCTTATTTAATACAAGGAGGATGCCGCCATTTAGTGTAGATTCTAGTGTGATTTGCGTTTTAAATTGCACCGTAAAAGATGTTCATTAAATATGACTCATGTATACACTTTAGAAATCGGTGCGCTGAGGTTAGTTGATTTCTTTAAAGGTGACAGTAAAAACTATATTATCTCATGCACCTAGGCAAGAGGGAAATTACTCTAGGAAACTCATTTAGCTGCCGAGATTTGAATAGGTTTCCACATGAACATCCTCTGTATCCAGGGGCAAGAAGCTTCTCCTCCGTGCCTTCAACAAATTTATCATTGATTTAAAATTTAATCGGGGCATTAAGGACATCACAATTCGTTTCTTCTGGGCCAATGCAGCTTTGCTGGAGTTAATAGAGGCATTAAGATGGAAAATTTGCTCGATTTTCTACTAGAGGTTTCCGAAACCTGACTGTTCACTTGTAAAATATTGCTGAATTAATGCAGACTGTTTTTCGATTAATGTATGCATTTGTGTGCATGTATGTATTTTTCCTTTCTAATGCCTTTTAGGTGTAATTCACGACTCCGTCTTTGACGCAAAAAGGTGGAACCTTCTCAGTTTGCTACAGCAAAATGCCCGAAAAATTGGTCGTGCTTTGGACGTTGCAAATCGTCAGAAGACCTCCAATAAGCCGCAAATGTCTTCATATCCGAGACATGATATCAGCTTTACAGTGGCTGATATTTCTTCTTCGAGAGGCAATATACTCCTTTCTACCGTTTTTATGATTAAGGAATGTCTGCAGAGGTCAAGGGCATGAGGAAAACACAGTGAATTTTTAAATTTAATCAATATGTTAACTTAGCAAAGCAGTGATGTAAGAACACCAAAGACCTGTGCGGATAGGCTAGATTCGATAGTCAGCGTGGCTACCTTGATTGGAATTCCTGAGACGTACCTTCTTTGCCGCGTTTATGTTAAACTCAATAACTGACTTATTAGTCTGACTTGAATTTTTTGAAAGATGACAAATTACAACCGTTTAATTTCCTTAGAATATCGCTAACCTGGACCGAATTTTGATAGGAATTTTTGGCCCGAAATCCATCACCCGCCGCCGAATAACCGAGTAATATTCATTATCGGCCAACAGCCGGCCAGTAATATTTGCTTAGACCGCAAGATATACAAAAGTGTCAAGTATGGTATATCGTGCTGTCTCAAACATGACAAATTCGAGACTCTGAAGTGCCTCTCAAAGATTAGTAAAAAAGGAAATTTGTTGATTCCTAATGAAAATGATAGAAAGTTCAGCGCAGTCATGGATTCTAATTGGTTAATCATGGTGCAAGATTACATTTGATTACATTTGTCAAAAGGAACAATTAATTTTTACTGCCTAGGCACTTCTAAGTTAGTTTCGAATGAAGAACTTTTCCGGCAAATGTACCAGTTAAATGGTATATCTTCTTGTCAGGGTGATAAATGATGAAGAAGACTTTCAACCGAAGATAAAACGCAGGGGTTCTTAAGGAGAAAAGGACATTTTTCACCCAGTGCAATTTCGCTTCCACAGCTGGCGCGGACACAGTAGCAAATTTATCAGTTAGCAGCAACAAATGACTTTATCGGCCAATAGGATAGGAAAACGGCCTTCAGTTTCCACATGACTGTGGAGATTGTTGGCGAATGTGTCTATATTACCTTCAGAATGGCTAGAAGCCCTACCTGGGGTTTCACCTCGTATTCAATCTACAGCAGATGTTCTATCATATGAAATGATAACCGAGGTTCTGAAATGCGTCTTCACTTCAAACAGATTACCTGGGCAGGGTTGTGATACCAATTATCCTCAACATAATACCAAGATAGTACAGTCACTACGGGATGCCGGCTTTCGCATGAGCTCCATGTCGACCGCTAAATTCTGTAAAAAAGACTCTTTAAGTGGTACCACTTCGCCTCATTGCTTTTTGATGACCTTGTGAATTCAAATATTTTTATAGGAGCCCAACCCTGGTGTTTCACCCCGTATTCAATCCATTTTAGCCGCACTCCTACGGCTGCACCAGTTCAATCTGACCATTTCTCTCACGGCCTGCGGCAACGCCCTGCACGTTGGTGAGTACGCCGGGCGTTTTGGCATTCCGCATGTGCATCTGACGACCTCCGCCTGCCCATATCAGCCAGACGGTCAGGTCTCTTTCATTGACAACAATACCCTCTGGTTAAGCTATCCGGCGGCCTATGAGGACAACTTCCTGCATTCCTACTTCCATCGGGAATCTGGCACAGACGCCGTGCATCTAATGCAAGAAAATCAACTACACGGTAGGATTCTGCATTACTGGGGGAAATTTTCATTGGAAACTTCCAAAAGCAATTTGGGGGGCATATGTCTGCCTTCGATCGATCCTCTTCAGGCCTGCACATTCATGTTGCTACCGAAATAGTAAATTACAAGGCGCAGGCAAGTGGGTAATTTGGGGGGGGGAGAGTGAAACATCAAGATTCCACTCAGTACCAGGGGGAAGGTAGACACCGGGGACTGCTGGCATGGTGGCTTTGAGCCATGGCAGCTGTGGAAACTATATAAAGACCATCTGTGCAGACAGAACCGGTTTGCACAGCCTAAAACTTAGTTTAGTCCGCTGTTTGAGAAAAAGGGTAAGAAGAATCTACCCGGCTGATGCCATTGTGAAAGAGCTTAAGATTATCGAAAGTCTTTTTCGCCAGATTGGATACTCTAATCAATTCATTGCTATGAACATTGGCAAAAGACCACCGTACTCTCCAATGCGGACGGCAAGAAAGGAAGGGTTTTTTATTATGGTCCCATTTCAAGGGGAGGTGCCAAGTAAACTTTTAAGCAGACGCCTACCTCAAGCTGTAACAAGGATCTTTTCAGTAGCTGACACCCGTGTACTGTTCTCCACCAGCTCCATCCCATACGGAGAGGACAATAAAGAACCCAGACCACTTCTAAGTGTATTCAATTTTTCACCTGCTCCTATGAGGGCAGAATCAGTCAACATCAGTCAGTATATTTGGAGTAAATGACAGAAGCCCCTAAAAACGCCATTTAAACGATACAAGTGTGAATGAAAAAGTTAAAGTGCATACGTTTTGCACGCGTTTTTAATGTACAGAATGCATAAATCTTATGTTGGAACCTAGATGCGAAAAGGTGATGCATTTACGAAATACTGGCGATAAAATCGTTCACTGCATTCGCACTGCGAAAATTTTCATCTGAGTCAAAAAATGACCTATTGAATTCATGTTAGTAGTATGTTTATAGTCATTTCAATAACCACCTAGACCAGGCTTGGGGAGTTCGGGTTACCTTTTAACAGGTGATTACCCAGATTTCTCTTAAAAACATACGTCAGCAAAGAACTCCATTGGCGAATGACCCTCTATGAGAAAAAGGAGGAACGGTGATTTGTGTGGCACACTTCCTTTTTAAGCTGGCAATCGTGTCATCTGAGACTAGTCTTTAGTGCCATTTCAAAAAGAGTTTCCCAGTCGACATCCAGATCAAGTCCTCTTAGCATCTGGAATGTAGTGGGGGGATAGAGGTTCAAGGTCGTCGGCGCTGATCGTGCGTAAAATTTTTGAGTTAGTGAACAGCCTTTGTAGCACGTCGTTGTACACCTTCGAGGATATCTGTATCCTTCCGAAGCCACGGCCGCCAAAGCCTGTACCGCATATCCAAGGGGCGGCCAAATAACTGTCCCATATACCTTGCCAGAGACATCTGCATTCAAGGTAGTAAGCTTTCCTTGTATCGCATTCATGGCTGACATTGCTCTCTCTGCGACACTTAGGTCGTCTTTAATGAATACGCCAAGGTCTTTTTGCACATCTAGGGTTTTAATTGGCTGATTGTCCAGGAGGTACTGTCGCGAGGGTGCATTTATTCTTCGCCTCGGTGATACTACGTGCATTACTGCACATTCTTTGACGTTGAATTTCACGCACCATTTTTTGCTCCGTGCATCGTACGAGCCGGCGTTTGTCCAAAAGGATGAGAGAACATTTTCCAGTATGATTAGGAAAGAGTAAAGTAAAGAACATCAACAGATACATCCAGGCGCCCATGGTAGCCACAGACCACCCTGTAGACGCTAGAGAGGCCTTCCGAGTAATTTACAGGGTTCTGCCAAGCTGCGCGGAACGACTGGGGCAATGACTTTTGGCTACGGCAGAGTCGGCTGCAATCAGGTTACGCAAATCGGTCCTATCCGCACAGCAGAACTTCATACAGGTCCCCCGTGTGCCATGGCCCAAGGCCACCAAGCCACCCACCCGCATATAACTACAGTCCCTGGTGTCCACCATCCGTCCGGCGTTGACTGGAATTTTGATGTTCCACTCTCCCGCTCCTTCCCCCAAACCAGAGCTACAGCATTATTAGTAATCATATTAATGTATAGGCCTGGCGAGAATTTATCGAAAGTTTCCAATTGTTGGACTTTTAAATACCGTGAAATGTTCGTTCACAAATCCTCATGTCTCTGCATTTACCAATGTGGCTTGTACAGTTATCAATATGGATCAAATCCACTGCTAAATTGTATAAACCCTATATGGTCCCCTTTATTACCGTAGACTAATGTGGGGTTTTCCATACGCGGAAAATACATGGCTTGTAGTTCGGAAACCCAGAGTCTAAGTGTAACGGCAGGTTGAGTTTAAAATCATTCGGGAATTGACAAAGTTTTTGAAAACCGAACTATGTCACTCCTTCGAGTATAAGATTGGAAGAAGACGTAATTATCCACCGAATGAGCAATAGAATGAATATTTTTATGCATGCTTTCCATGAAATATCATTGGAAATTTAGGGGCATCGAAAATCAATGAGAAAAGCTCAAGCTAATTAAATAGCCGTTTTTTATAGCGTGTGGTTTTTGCATGCAGCCGGGAAGAAGTTCATTCCGAAGCCGACATACTGAGAAATCTGAAGTATTATAGATTTCTGTTGCAGTCTGACCAGTTTTACAACCCTATATAACTAAACTTTTCGAAACGAAAACGAATTTCAGAATTTCGGTTGACATTTCATGAGTTAGCCCGCATACGATCCCTGATGAGGGGGGGGCAGCCGCAAACATTCATAAGTATGCAGTAGCATGGTGACTGCATCTTATAAATGCTGCAGCCCCTTGTGCATGAACCACCCGCATCTGCTTTTTGTCTCTGATGCTGGATTCGAGCAGGAATCCTAAACGTCAGGCTAATAAAGCTCTTGTCCCAGCGATCGTGTCTCCTTCTTCAAAACTGCTTCCTGGGACTCGTCTCTTCGCTTCTATTGGCAGGGGGAATCTGTGATGGTGTGGGCTCCAGACTCTAGTACATCAGTCTCCGTTCGATGAATTCGCATGTGACCGACTAGGCCGATGAGTAAGGATGTGACATCCTGGGGACAGCAAACATGCCAGAAACGTTCATAAGGATCCTTCCTCCACACATACCTACTAAGTGTAGTCATGAAATTCACGAATTCACTTCTTGTTAAACTAAAACAGTTTCAGGAGTAAATTACAGCATTGGGAACTCATCTCCTGTAAGTGTGATTTTTAAACGTAAACGCTGATGCCCACGCGGCGCGGTGAAAGGGTCACTTAAGCCCAGAATCGCGTTAAGAAAATCCTACCCACCTCAGATTCGAAATTATTTCTGATTCTTTTAACTCGACACGATCATTGTAACCGCTTTTGTCAGCTGGCAAGTCTTTGGTACATTTGCAAAATTAAAAGCACCCTTAACCCGATACTAAACGTCATATTAACTGTGTAGATCCTTTGAGGTTTTTTTTGAATTTGAGAAACCGCAGATGTTATTCTTGACTCCTGGAACCACCGAAAACCCACCGATCCCAGAGGCGGCATCCCGGTGGTTACATTCCGCCGCAATACTTCCAGAGACAACGGACCCCAGAACAGACGAAGCACTGCCTTTGATTTGGATCACGTCTTCACCGTCTGGATGGCTCACAAGATTCCCCAGACAGTATTCCTGCATACGATGTCTCCTGATGTGGAGGACATCGTGGCGCAGGTAGGTTGCAACGTTTTGCAACAACACTCATGCCGAGTTTAATTGGTCTTTTCATAACTTAACGTGAATAACCGTTTGGTTTGCAGAAGCCTGAAGTCAGCGTTGATACACAAACTCACACTCCCCCACTGTTGTGTGAACTGAGAAATGTAGTGTCGAGTGTCCATATTCATCTTCCGATAATTCATAATCAGACCTGCACAACTAGATGAAATAAGCAAATAAGGCTGAAAGCAGCCGTGACAAAACATAAACATAATATGCTGGTAGAATTCCCTCCCTCCTCCCCTTCCCCATTTTCAATGCTTTTCTGAAACGTGCTTTTAATAGTGCACATCGGTTAACAATTAACATTGCAGACACATTCCCGGTACATGCAATCCACTGCATTCGTTGACATCACGTGAAGTCCACAAAAGATGGCCCTGATTGTATTTTCACTGGGTTCGTTCACTTTCGAAGAACAGTCTGAAGAAAGTTGATATCTTGGGTGGCATCGACTGTTTCAGCAGGGATAAGAGTTGGGAGTAGTCTAGACTAACCTGAGTTGAAATATTTATGATAGTCCATAGAGTGCAAATTACAAAATGCCAAAGAATGCCACAGTAATAGCAATGTCTTAACACGGTTGCGTACAATAGGACAGTGAAATAAGTATTGCCTGAGACAAATTTTATTGTCCCAAAATAAAAACACATAACGGTGAGAGGGCCTGTTATTTCTCAGGAATGCACTACGGCAAGTTGGCACAAATGCAGTCTTGTTTTGGATTTTGATCGCATCATGCAGCAAATCCAGCAATTTATACTGCTTTGCCTGCTTTAGAATCAGTGCAACGAGGTCAGTTGATTTCGCTTTTGCCAGGCGTTAAATCCGTAAGATATAATCTTAAAACCACAAGCCAGTCCTTTGTATAGGATCAAAGTCAAGAATACACTTTCCGGGAGCTGAATTCGCCATCATATATATCCTTTGCATTGGGTTCATCCAGTCTTGAAGTGATCAAACATTATAATTTGCGAGCTGTTCGTGTTATCACCTTGTTACGCCGTTCAGTTGACTAATTTGGATTTCCAGCTTGCTACGGGGTAATTTTGCGGTTAGGGTTAAATAGAAGTAAGTTTTAGGACTAGGATTAGGGTACGGATCACAACTAGCGTTGGGATTAGATTCGAGGATAGGGTAAAGATCTAAGTTGGAGTTCGGGTCAGGAGTGGGGTCATGGTGGAGTTAAGGCTAGGGGTACGCTTACCTATGAGAATAATTCTAACAATAATTCTTATCTTACCTTAACGTTAACCGTCGTCCTAGCCATAGCCTTAATCCCCTTTCATCTAACAAAACACATGCTGTGCGCTGGTTGCTGAAACTTAGAAATACAAACTACTCAAATGCACAAAGTAGAAAATAATACTCACGTAAATTCTCAACAATGCTAATAAAGGCACTTTTAACACTAAAGCAGTGGATAATCTGTAGGCATAGACCGGTTGACCAGTCAAAGATCCTGCGAGAGGCAGTCCACGAGCTATTTTGCCAAGAGGAGACACCGGACGTGTGCTGCCGTAACGGTTGAAGATGCGGTCAGCCTAGCGTATGCTGAATGTGATTTTTAAAACACCCTAACGTGCATATCCATACAGATACGATAGAAAGAAGATTGGGCGTGGATGAAAGATGCAATAATGATGGGCTCCCAGTTTGGATATAGACGAACTGCTAGCGGCAAGAGAATGAGTGGAAGGGAAGGTATCGCGTAATTTAAGGTTACCAGATGACAAGAGGGCAGTTAAGTAGATAGTGTCGAGGTGTCAACGGATACGAGAAAATGGGACGGAGTATCAGGTGACAAGAGGTCACCCAACTACCAGTTGGAAGTCGGCTCAGCTTGAGTTATTGTACAGTTGTTGACGCCAGTGGACATTTGAGCCACTGCGGACGTGTGGCAGTGGCGTAGTTTATGAGAGAGTGTATTTTGCCCCTTACTGATTTCAGAAGCAGAGGGAGTAGGACTGGAGTCTCGAGTTTCGCTCTGGCCGAACTAAATAGTTCTTCGTTTAACGGGAAAGATTTTAATAAATAATGCTAACTAGCATCATGTTTTTAAGGAACTTTAAATACTTTTGACTTCAGAGTTTGATTACATGCCAAAAGTCAATCATTTTATTAAAACCAAGACAACAACACTTCACATATAAAGCTATTTGTTCACATCGTTAGTAGGGCGCAATTGCGAGGAAATTGACACTTCCCAGTGTACCTCATTGCTCCTCATGCTGCCTCTAACATAACACCAGTGTTCAAAGCGAACTCAAACTTTTTTCTGAAAGAAATTGAACTTAGAGTTAAGGCATCACATCGAGTTTGGGGCCAGACATGAAGACTCTTGAATCGGTGAAGTCATTCCACGTCCATTGCCTGCTTAATTGCTAGGTTTATTTATGCATAACTAAATATGCGAAAGAATTTAGCGAGTACATTGCTTTTTTCGCAGTCCATAAGTTTTTTAGGGGTTTAGTGACAACTTCTACGAATGTTTTAAGGGAAGAATACCAACTTTCTCCCATCCGTACTCCAAATGTAGATGTTGAAGGCAATATGTGTCTCTTTGAATGTCGATCTTTTTTCGTTCGCAGGCCTACAATGCTGGCCTAATTTCGCAAAACACCTTCTGGACTATCCTGGATGAGGCGGGCTCAAATATGAATGTTTCTGGTCTCACCACTAAACTGAATGCTTCGGACGATGCTTCCACAAACTCGATCAAGGACCGGCAGAGAGCACGACCCAATCTGGCCTTTATCAGACGTTATCCAGTTCTCCGTAATGAGGACTGTTTTGACACGAAGTTGCCTCTGGACTTTAGAGCGCGCATGCGCAGACTGTTTGACTGCCGGGTTGACCACATACCGGTATGTCGCTTTCAGTAAATGACACAATTCAACCTACTGTTTAAGATATAGTAGCGGATATTATTCAGCCCCGACAAATTCTGGAAGATGGTTTCACTATTCATAATAGTCAAAAAGGTCTGTCTGTTGGCGGTTTGTGAGTATGCGGTTATTCCGCAGTGTCTGATGGATTTCAGCTCAACTATTCATATCAAATTTCGGACCATGCTCGAAAAGGTCTGCTTAGAAGGATTTACTCAAAGTAAAGGGAACAGTTTGTGATTTTTGAAATAAATGATGAATATTCTACTTCTCAATATTCGGCTGAAATTTTGATAATTTTATTCTGAAAGTCATTTCTAGTCCCACTGTTCGACAGCACAGAAGAAAGTTCACACTGAAGACTGGTATATTCTGCGGCATCCACAGACAGCTATTTGAAATCCTGCTTAGGAAATCCTGCTCGGGCAGTCAGTTAACAGCATCAGATATGGTGGATTCCAGACGTTGCGGTAGTTTTGGCGTGTAAACTTGGGCCAAATGTGATTAAACTCGCATCGTCCGGTGGGGCCTCGTAGGTCAGATGGTTTGAGCGTTGGATGTACTCAAGCCTCCCCTTGTCGTCGTGGGTTTGAACCCTGCCAAGGCACCGATCTTTCCCCAGTTAGGTCGAAGTAAAATTATCTGAAAGCTGCCAATAAACCTCTGTATATGAAAGCTCTCAGACGGTTGAAAGTTGAGCCCATTCTCTTAGCGCCCAAACAAGCAGAGGATGAAGTACATCAGCTAAAAAGCATGATAATTCGCAAAAGCCTCAGAAACCTGTCCTCTGAGCTGCGGCAGAATGTATTTTCAGTTAATTTAGTTTTTCGGAAGACCAGCGGCATTAATATTACATTGTAAATGCCAACTTTTCTCTCATAGGAAAGACTGATGGACATTATCCTGATCACTTACCAAGCCGTTTACGGAGGTTCGCGGGAAATTCACCCACCTTCCGTCGACACTGCGGTCAGACTCCTACGCAACGTTCAAGACGTAAGATTCACTAAGTTTACATGGTTTTGCATAAGGCGCTCCGAAATCTTTAACAAACTGTTAAGACTGTCTACAGTTTTATACTTTCTGACCGACCTGCGCAAGACAATTTGTCCTAGCGAACGATAGTACTTAACTGAGCCATCAAAAAGAAAACACTTTTTATCTTTAAAATTTGGACGGCATTTTCACTGGCTCGTAAAAATCGGGTCAAAGTGATCATTAAGAAGTAAAACCCGGCGTGTTTCGTCTGCTGGCAAGAGAGGAAATTTGTTTGTCATTCTGACATTAACTCCTGCTTGTCTAAAAATACGAAGCCTAGGGTATATATCAACTTATGAATGAGCCTCCCCCAATAAGGAATTCGAATGTTAAAAAATGCGAAAGACGTGCTGCGTTCATCAGTTGTCAAAAGGAATGTTGCCTGTGGAGATATTGTTACGATGGCCAAAGCAGTGGGCAGAAACTATCTACTCCTATCTTCAAGCCAGGTCGCTGGTAGGGGCAATAGAGTTGGACGAGAGACATGCAGCTTTTGTGACTTGTCAAAAGAATTGTTGCCTGTGGAGGTATTTTTACGATGGCCAAAGCAGTAGGCAGACCATATCCACCCCTACCTTCAAGTCAGGTCGCCGGTAGGGGAAAATATAGTTTGACGCCGGTAGAGAATGCTGCATGTGAAACACGGACAATAAGCTGTAATTCAAAGATGCGAACTCAAATTTCCCTCCAGTAAACCGAACTGAAATGTACAAACTGGGAACCGGGCGGGAGATGTGCATGCCGGACGTCCTCATAGCAGGCATCGGTGTACGTCCGAGGCCGGAATCCGAGTGTCCGGTGCGAGTGCATATCTGACTCAGTTTTTAAACTGATTGTCTGGCTCGGATTGCTGGGACTGACCGAAAACCTCCCGGTTTTAGCGTTTCACCAGACACTATGGGAGCATCCCGTAGGGTCTCAGAATGTCAGATAGAAGACTGTTGCTAGTACGTATGAGCAAATATCCTCGAGAGAGAGAGAGAGAGACGCAGAAAGGCATCCGACGCCGAAGTAGGGTCACTATAATACGTGCTTAATTTTTGACTCCGAATGGTAACACACCACTTCACAGACAATATTTGTAAATGCTCACAAAGTGAGGTATTTACAGGCGAATGGACGGCTCGTATTCCTTCCCCTGCCTACCTACTCCAGCTGCAGGCGGAGACAGTTGTGGAGAGGACGACGGGTCAGAGAGATTCAGAAGCTACACATTTCACGACTCCACTACGGACTCGCTTCTTGTTAGTCGGCATCGAGATTTGTGGAAAACATTTGAGAATTTCGTTTATCGACCTGGTTCGACTGTGAGAGGTAATACGGGCGGGTTATTTTGCCCTTGAGGTTCAGAGTTCCATTCTCACCGATGATGACCTGGCGCAGAGGGTTTACTAACTGTTAGATTGTGACCGTTTCTGATTAGTAACTTAAATAACCTGACGATTTTAGCTTCTGGAATTTAAAACTCCCGATGTCATTCCCTCGCATGCATGCTTAAGTACACGTTTTTTGGTATTCTGATATTTGGAAAATACAGGCTGAAAACAAGTCACTAAACTGGACAATTGCGTCTAATGTAGATCTCCGAAGAGAAAGGCGTGGAAAGAACCCTGTTGCCGCAAAATAGCTGACAATAGGGGCTGGATGTTTCATTTAATTTTAAATTTGTTGGCATTAGTTTACTTTCTGCAGACACGATTATCGGGAAGCAGTATCCAGCAGTCGGCATTTGGACCTCTCTCTGGCTTACTAAGTTTAATAGCGCTGACTTGGTCAGGTCAGTTGAGCTTGTTGGAATGAAATCGTCGCAGACACTGAGGGGGGACAGAGAAGCCTTGCGGCTACACCCACCGACCGCGAAACGAATCAGTGTCCCCACACAGTCACGCTGAAGCAACTCTTAGAGCCTACGCTCACAATATCACCGTCAGTGCAGCAACGCGACAAAATAGCAACGCACATTGCACGGCAAGCAGACAGAATGTCTCGTCCCTCGCATGGGGGTATTTTATGTGTTTGTGCCTTCCGCAGATGAACAGGTGTTCCAATGCAATTAAGCTTCTGGTAGTCAGTGAATTTGTTCCAGTGAACTCTAATAACTTCTCAGGAGAAACTAACGAATGGCACAAAACTACAGAAAACAACTTACGCCGTTTCTTTGGCCAAAAAACAAAGGACTCCCTAAATACTTTGACATCATCACCAATAGAATTCCAAGACATTAAAGAATCGCAAAGTATCTTGTTCGATGGGCCATTCTGATTGCTCAAACGCCATTATATATATATATATATATGCAGCATGTTATTACAGACAAAGATATGGGAGACTGGGATGGCCATTCCTGGCGTATTAGCCGTCGTCAGCCAGTCATAACCAACTCCGAAGTGTGGAACACCCGAGGCTCGAACTCGCCCATAAGGCACAACGGAACGAGTGACTTCCGTAAGAACGATCGCTGTGCGTCCCCTACCATTGTATATTCCCGATCGAAAATCGACAGGGCAACGGGCTGGTGGTCCAGTGTCTACAGGCGTGGACTTCTAAATAACAGGTCGCGAGTGCGGGTGTTGCACACTTCGGGGTTGGGTATGACTGACTGACGATGGCTAATAAGCCAGAAATGGCCATCCCATTCTCCTTGTCTTTCTCTGTAATAGCATACTGCATATATAAGTGCTGGAAGGCGGGCATCCCAAGAGATATAAATTGAAGATGATAGGTTCTTTGGGAAAAGTAAAAGCTTTATTAGTAAATCTTCGAAATTGGTTCCCCAGCTCGTCGTCAGACTACTGAGTTATGTACAAAAACAGTTAACTATTTAAACCGCACCGAACAAGTGATTCCGTGGTTGGCCGAAGTCTGCGACAATGCGCGTCAATGATATTTCGTCATCCCCTCAGCATTGGCTGCGCTCGCTTCCATTTGTCCTTGAGGAATTTGCACGTAGCATCTAGAACGATATGCCGATTGATGCATGCCTCATCTGAGTGCATTGCTTCCAGGAATTCGCGGCCTCTCCTTGTAGGGCAGGCGCCAACAATATATATAGCCATAAAATTGTACAGACTTGAAGAGAACTTACCGAAACAGACGTACGCTTGCCAAATTGCCTTTTGAATTTTTCAATGGGAATCTTCGCAACTCTAAAATGCCATTCTGTTTAAAATCACGTAGACAGTATAAGGTGTGAAAATACAAATGCTCCTCTCATCTGCAAAACTCCCGCTGATGGGGCGAAGTTTACATATTTCAAAAAAGTCATCTTAATTTGATGACGCTCTACTGGTAGTCACATAAACAGACTACGTTTCGGCTACTTTTAGTGGTACAACGAGACTGGCCTTCTCAACAGTCTCTGGATGTTCGCTTCCAGAACCCGACGACTGCATGAGCCAATCACGTTCTACAGGACAGCACAACTTCAAGCGGATGGCAGCTTAGAGATGACCGATTTTGCCGCCTTCCAGGCACCTAAATCTGACATCAGCGGCCTCTTTCCAAACGCCTTTTACAGCTTCTTCGGCGAAAAACTTCGAATCGGCTGTTTGCAGGTACAAGGCTGTCTGTCTATTAAAAACGCGGAGAAACATTTCTTTTCTGGTATCATGTTGCCCAATTATCTCGGAAGACAATTGAAAAGAATGAAGGAACGGTTAGAGTAATCTTAAAGAAGATTGGGCTGTCGAATAGGTTCATGAACAGTCGGTGCTAAATGGCCAAGATGAGTGAAGTACGTCCTATTTGTACAGAAGTCAGTCGGGTTGCCTACGGTCCGGAGGTTGATCTTATCACCAAGGTCATGGTAAGCGTGTAATCGGTCAATGACATCGGCACCATGAGGAAGCCGCTTCACGTGTATGATAAGTAAGAAACCAGCCTTTTGAGAAAAGCAACCTCAGTGCCACGTATCTAATGAGTAGTCTTCAAATCCCGGGGTTGGATTGTCTAAAAGGCAGGACTAATCATGCTGTACCCATCGCAACTTGCTGTACTAATTAATAGTACGCATCTCCTGTTTTCCTATTTAAAGGCGAGAGGATTTGTTGAAGGCGGCAGTCTGGATGAGAATGGATTTCTGCAAAATGCCTCTGGTTTCCAAATCGATTTACTTCAACTGCTTCAGGAGCAATTCCAGTTCGGGTGAGTTACCATGTTCACACATAAGGATTACATTTATCTACTCCGAACTAATTGGAACCCTCTTGCCAACACCGAGTCATCAGTCGCGTAAAATGCTTCCTCAGCCTCATAAAATGGACATGAACGAGAATAACGGCGATCAGGCCGCATCAGGCAGAATCTGAGAACAGATCATTGGTATCGCACAATATTGTCAGTCTGTTTCCATGGCCGTGAGCTCCACCACTGATTCACTGAGAGTGTGCAAATACGAGGGGAATTGACGGAAAAAATCTGACGGGGAAAATCTAACAAGTCATCAGGGCTTCATTGTCTGCCGATTTGTATAAATTGGTTGCACAAACTAGCTTCCAGTCAATGAGGTATACCGATATCCAGCTCTGTTGCACGGGATAACCCTCTTAGAGCACGGCGGATCGTGAACTACCTACCGTGGCATTCTGAACCAGGTCTTGTGAATTTAGGATGGTTAGATTGTAACTGTTGAAGCTGCATGAATGGGCGTGACTTTGACTCGTTGGTACTGGCTAACTGTTTGCGTGCGAACTGATAATCGGTATGGCAATTACGTACCTACACACATCATGCTAACAGTTGTTTACGCCAAGCCAATTTCGCCGAGAGCAGAGGACCTATTTAATTGTGCCAAAGGGGATTTTGGAGACTGCCTGTATAGGGTTATCGTCGACTGCCACCTAATAGGATAGTTTAAGCACCAGAGGCCAGAAGCGGCAGATATTCCTCGGTTCAACTGCCTTAAAGACGATGCAAATGAGAGGGAAAGCGCATAAATTCATATCAGTTGGTTGGCATATGTACGTATATAGTTGGTTGCCTGTTCGTGACCCTTGTCACCCATAAGAGTCTCGTTTGCTTCGGAAAGCTAATAGATGGGTGTGCGTCCTTTCCTGATGTAACACATACCCGATCTGCGGCGACAGAGAATGACAGGTGACGAGGCATTGATGAACTTCGGTTCGATGAAGTGCATATGACCCATCTAGTAGACCACAGTGGTGGACCAACTGCGTCAGGTGTGCCTGTTACTGGTCCCCGCTGATGGTCAGGGTTACGGGCCCGAAACAGTGCCCGAGATTGCGTCTTCTTGACTCTGCCAGTGCTGTATCAATCTACCCTCCCGGACTCTGTCGTCTCCCTCCTCTGCTATCGTGGCGTGGCCGACTTCGACCTGGTAGGCGGTTGCCTGTTCGTGACCCCTATCGCCCAAACGAAGCTTGTTTGCTTCGGGAAGCCAATAGATCGGTGTGCGCCCATTCCTGTCGGAATAAATACCCGATCTGCAGCGACAGATAATGGCAAGTGGCGTGTTGCTTGAGTCATGGTTCACGGGATCTCAGTCTACAAACAAGTGCAACGTCAGCCCTACTCCATATTCTCTGCTGAGGCACAAGCTGGCCAAAGTAATTTGCCATCCGGGGAGCACGCAGCCGGTGAGCCAGGTTGCCGCGCAATCATCACGCCAGCACCTAGAAAGGGTGATGAGATTTCAGCAATTAGCAACTTTCATGCCGGCAGTCAAACCAGTAGCGCACTAACGGGCAACAATTGATGAAGGAAGAGCGGTTACCATAGGTATGCGGTAGCATAGCGACTGCCTGCTATAAATGCTGCAACTTCCTGTGCACGGGTCACGCGTTTCTGTCACTGTATCTGATGACGGGTCCAAGTGAGAATCTGAAACGTCTGGCAAATAAAGATCTTGTTCCAGCGATCGCTTCTACTTCTTATCAGATCAATACTCCTTTGGTGCTTCAGCCAGTAAGCGGCCGCCGCGTGCGTCAGTCTGTATCGATTGGCTTTTGTCTGTTGCACTTTCCACTGAGATTTTCGTACGTGGCATCTAACTCGATGTGCCTATTGATGCATGACTCGCCGGAGTGCATAGCTTCAATAAACTCCCGGCCGTTTTTAGAGGGGCAAACTCCGACGATAAGAGTTTTATCCCATGCGGTGTGCCCAGTATTAAGCGTGTGCGTGGCCATTTGAGACCGGTGGCCTTTGCCTCTTAACTGCCAGTTGGTGTTTGTGGATACGTGTAGAGACAAATTTTCCCGTTTGGCCGCAGTATACGGTGTCAGGCATCTCATGGGATCTTATGGACGACTTCCTTTTATCGAGATAGTCAACCCTATCCTTAGAGTTTACAAGGTGAGTGTGTAATGTAGTCGTCGACTTGTGTGACAATTTTATTTGGTGTTTCTTCAAGCGTCTTTCAGCAAGTTAAGACAAATTCCTTATGAAAGGAAGGATTCGCGAGGAATTTACTTTGGGCGTTTGATTAGAACTGTCTAGTTCCTTTACTTTTAACTCTTGTTGTCTCATGCATCGACATACGAAACATTTAGGGTAACCGTTCTGGGAAACCAATTCAAACAAGTAGTCTAGCTTAATATAGCAGATTTTATCATCAGAGCAAATTGTTTTGCTCTACGTGGCAGAATTTTGTCAGTACTCCGCTTGTAGGACATAGGGCGGTTGCTCTTATAGTGTAAAATTATTTTAGCGTATGTTTCTTCGCAGTAAACGGACGTGAGTATTGTTCGTCAGTCTTCCGCTGTACGAGAACAGCTAGAAATAGGAGTTTATTGTCAACTTCTATTTCCAGCATAAATGTAATTCACCGAATTGGTTGAGTTGATGGTGTTGTGGAACACATCCAGTGGAGCTTTTTTAGTAAAAACAAATATGTCGTCTACATATTGCACCCACATTTAAGGGTTAACTAATGGAAGAGCTACTAGTTTCCGTTTCTTCATTGTCACCTCGGCAAGAAAGCCAGATATAGGTGATCTCATAGGGGCGCCTTTTAGTTGTTGATAATAATGGTGGTCGAACGAAAACTTTGTTTCTAAACAAAGGTCCATGAATTCAAGTAAAGCAACTGCGGTAACAAACCTCGCATTGACGCAGTTTACGTACTAAAAAATGCCGAGTTTCTTAAGGCCATGCACTCCGATGAGTAATGCATCAATAGGAAAAACTAGTCGGATGCCGCGCAGCTAATTGCTCCAGACTAACGCACACAGCGGCTGCCTACAGGCTGAAGCACCAAACGAATACTGATTTCTCAGCACGTTTGAAGTGTTAATTGATTTTTGCACATTTATTCAAGTCTGACGACGATACGAGGAACCAACGTCGAAAATTTGCTCAATGAAGTTCTCCCCCTTCCACAAAGTACGCATATGCCTTCAAATGTATATACATATATAAAGTTAGAGGGCCTCACCGACCGTTTTTGCGGAACTCACTCGTTCTCTTGTGCCTTACGGGCTGTCTCTAGAGCCCGACCAGCATCCGCACAGCGGCGCATGATATAGGCAGTATGGTATTACCTACAAAGACAAGGGAGACTGGAATGGCCATTTCTGGCTTATTAGATGTCATCAGCCAGTCGTACCTAACTGGTCGCAAGTTCGAGTCCCAGGTGTTCCACACCTCAGGGTTGGGCATGACTGGCTAATGACGGCTAATAAGCCAGAAATGGCCATTCCAGTCTCCCTTGTCTTTGTCGGTAACAACATTCCGCATATAAATATATGCACATATATGGGCGATGGGAAAATTTTATTAACATATTGCATCACAAATGCTAAACTGGAGAAACTATTCGTTTTGGTTTCGTATTGCGGGCTTCAATGATGTTTGTTCTTGAAGAAAAACGCTGAAGTTTGTTGTGCTCGTTGACATGTATCCAATTTCCCGTAGACAATTTATTCAAAAGCCAAGAATGTGCTCCCATAATCTGAGGTTGCGAGTTAACCGTCTTGTCTAATTCCCCAGAATTCGCATACAAGAAACCTGTTATCCGGAACTATATGGAAAAGAATCTTTCCTTAATGCTGTCTTGTAGATATGAATGCAAACTTTAAGTTTTATTCAGTAATAATTAATTAATACATACATTTATTCCATTGAGCACCCTTGAGGGTACGGTCACTTCTCCGAGCTTTCCATAATTAGTTTATGATTTTTTGTCGACGGCGATAAAACAATGCTTTCTGCAACTGGACTGCACATCTTGTAATGGAAAAGAAACAAGTTTCTGCTCCTATAGACTTTAACTAGAAATCTATTGTCATCTTCTTCTGTTCTTCTTCTTCCTCCTCCTGCTGATAATACTAAAAGGCCTATTCGTCATCGCTGGCGACACCACCACTGGCACCACCAATATTACAACTACCACTACTACTGCTTCTACTACTACTACTAATAATAATAATAATAATACTATTACGATTACTACTCCTAACAGCAGCTTCGCTCCCAAACATATACACAGTCCAATAGGTTAGCACATTCTTGACTGCCCACCACAAATAGTTCCTTCCTGATCAAGCTCATGCGTGGCTGATTCGAGACGTTGGCATAATGCAAACTTATGTTAACTTTTTTAATCAACCTTCCATGCGATCGAATAAAAAATTGAAAAGATTCGTTCGCAGGAGCACTTAAATGTGACTGAATGTATGTCCTTCCGCTCTCACCTAGTTTTGAGCTCGTGACGCCCGCGGACGGCGAATATGGCCGTAAGCTGCCAAATGGTTCTTGGACTGGCCTTATAGGCCTCGTTGTCCGGGGGGTAAGTTGTACCATATTGTAGTTATATCACATTCCTCGTAGGAATTCCGAAAGTTCGCGGAGGTGAAACCTAGATATATTGCCTACTTAATTAACGCAAGTAGCCTTGACATGCAGCGTTCGCAGAAACTCGTGGTGCATGGGCTCGTATGTCTCACTGTGCCACTGAACAGAGGCTATGCCAGTGAAAAGCGTCAATCATAACATGAAAATACCTCATAGAGGCTAATATTGTGAGCAGATTTCGATGTAACTTCTATTCAAAAGGACATAACACTTCAGCAGATGTTACCTTTAACTGATTTTGGATGCCATTGTACCCTCAAGCAAAAATCACAGAAACAACGCACAAAAATCAATTTTTGTGCAGCGATTCTAGAAATAATAATCTGCCATTTCAAGCCCAAGAAAGATGAAAATTCCAATATAGAAAACGTTTTTGATCCGAAATAACACAGAAACCCTCAGTATATTTTTTATGAAAAAGAGTATGTTTGTCGTAAGAAGGGAAGTTCGCAAATCTGGTTATGGAACCTGCTCATCGCGTTGTGCATTTGTATGGCGAAAGGTAAGGGAAACTGGAAAAGACACTTCTGACTTACTAGCCGTCATCAGCCAATCATACCCAACCTTAGGTTTGGGACACCAGGAGTGCTGTACTTTTGTTCGAATGACTATAACACTAAAATTTTGTTAGAATTGGATGGCGTACAATGTAGCAGGTACTGGTTGTGGCAGACTAGTAACAATAGTCCTGTTTAAGAAAAAATAATTGCTAGCAGCCTAAAAGTTAATTATTTGTCTGAGCAAAGTCACACGAAATCTGCTGTCCGTAATATGGGACTGGATGCCTTATTCTGTGTCCATTAATTTTTGACATTGATGATTTCTTTTTGTGGAAAAAAACCTTAGGTTTGGACATTCACATTCTTCGCTCATCGTAAAGACCGGGTAAAGCATCAAGGGTCCATTTAGAAGGATTTTTTGAAAATTACGGCAGCCCAGACACCAAAATAATTACCTAATGAACTATTCCATACATGGAAAATGCATCGCAGTTTGTCGAAGGACAGTTGACGGACATAGGATAAAAGTAGCACACCAACCGAAAAATACCCCACGCATACGGCTTTTACATCCTACGGAAAGGATTATTCACCTCAGCAGAAAAGGCATTGTCCACAATATCCTGTGTGATATTTGTGATACCGTCTACTTTGGTCAAACTGGGCAATCTGTGTCAGCTCGTATGGGCATAGCTAGTGCTGACGGGATAACAAGATGCAATTGACGCGAATTGAGGCGGGCTCCGGTCAGCCGCAGAATTGCTTGTTAGGCAGGGTTAAATAGTTTTTTGCACAGGACCCATAAGTCCGGCGAAAAGTTGGGGACTAGCACTAAAAAATTTACGTGTGCCTGGTAGTCATGTGGTGGATTCTAGGTGAATTACTTAGGAAATCCTGCTTGGGCAGTTAAATTACTGTATCAGATTTGGTTGATTATAGACGTTGTGGTAAGTTGGGCGGATTACTTGAACCAAATGTGATTATACACGCGTCGTTCAGCGAGGCCTCGTAGCTTAAGTGGTTAGAGCGCTGGCTGTAGTAAAGTCTTCCCCTTAATGCGTGGGTTCGAATCCCACCGAAGCGCCGAGTTTTTCACAGTTGGGTCAATATGCATTGGTAATAAAAGTTACTTAGTCTCGGAATTATCTCACTACTTCGAATTAAACTTCCTAAAATGCTTTTGTCCGGCCTGGGAGTACCTGGGCGAACTTTCTATGTACCATATGAGAAAGTGTCATTTGGCAAAAGGTTTTTTTCGCCAGAAACTCAACCGGCAGACGAAAAGAATGGGGTCGGTCAAGATCCGTACTATGGCCATTTCTGACTCATTAGCTGGCTATACCTGCTTGATTATTCTTTGGAGTTTATATGCCAGAAGCCGCATAGAGAACGCTGGGGGGCACACTGCCGAGCCGAACACCTCGCAGCTGTGCCGGGCAGCAGCAGAATATCGTCGAAACAGCAGTCTGGGCTTTTAGCTGGTACCTATATGGAGACGGCAGCATAATACCTTTGCCATATATATATATATATCGGTGAGCGCCCTCTGCCACTATATATATATGTGTGTATGAGAAGGAATGACGATTTTGCGAATAATAAGTTTATTGCTCTGACGTTTCGGGTGCAGACAAGCTTCCGTTCTCGAAGAAGAGTGTGTTATCGCAATGATGGTCATTCCAAAAGGGGCTTACCTGCGCACCCAGTGCGACAGGGAGGAAGGGGTGGAAAGGGAGTCCTCGAGCATCTTGCCACCTGATGAGAGGGTAATGGATTAACTTTGGTGGTCATCATCCGCATACACACGGAGACCGTGGCGGATCTTAACTGAGGTCTTAGGCTGACAATTTTGTTTACGATGCCATAACCGTCTTCATTTTTATCGGTCGGTGTAGTGGATGGTACGTCGGTAGGGGAAACTGCGCCTTCGTCGGATCAGGGTTTTTATGCTGCGACGTGAGTGTCCGCCCTGGACTTGTTCATGTTTGGATTTATGATTGACTTAGCTTCACTTTTGCTCTTTTGTTCACTGAGCTAAATCTGGAGGGTTTGGTAGGCCGCAGAAAGTGCCACATAACGGCTGACGGAGGTTGTCCCCATGTGCCAGACCTCGACTGTTAGCCTAGCCACGCCCTCATTCCCACTACTAGAAATTTCGGCATTCCGGAAGACAAAAATATGTCCATAGTCGGTGCAGTGTTCCGTCATCAGCAATAACTGGTTCATCCTCCAGAATGTTTTCATGTGTTCTCCGGCAGGGGTCGGTAGTCGTTTACCGGTCTCTCCAATGCTGCTGACTTCGCGGAAGTGACACCTAGATCGGTAGATGACGATTGTGGTTCTACCTCGTGGGAGGGGGGCCTTCAGCCCTATAACTAGGTGTCGATTTGTTGACTCCGGCTGGTGGGCGATGCCAGTCCACAGCCCTTCCATCCTGCCTCTCTGGCTGCATAGGTAAACCTTTTTTAACATGACCATCGCCACTTATGAATACTGTGAAAGGCGATACCACACCCACTTCTGAGGACAGAAGCTTGTATGTTTCGGAAACTCCAGAACGGTGAAACTAGGATTCCAGAAATCACATTTTCTTCTTATATATGGGGACGCGCACCTTCGCTTATATTCTTATATTGTATTATATATTATGATAGTAGGGGGCGCTCACCGATCGTTCATACGGAACTCACTCGTTCCGTTGTGCCTTATGGGCTCTCTCTCGAGCCCAACCAGCAGCCGCACAGCGGCGCAGGATATATAGGCAGAATGATATTACCGACAAAGACAAGGGGGACTGGAATGGCCATTTCTGGCTTATTAGCCGTCGTCAGCCAGCCATATGCGAGCCCGAAGTGTGGAACACCCGAGCCTCGAACTCGCGACCTGTTGGTTTAGAAGTCCACGCCTCTACCCACCGGGCCACGAGCCCGTTGCCTAGTCGGTTTTCGATCGGGAATATACAGTGGTAGGGGGCGCTCACCGATCGTTCATACGGAACGAGTTCGAGGCTTGGGTGTTCCACACTTCGGGCTTGGGTATGGCTGGCTGACGACGGCTAATAAGCCAGAAATGGCCATTCCAGTCTCCCTTGTCTTTGTCGGTAATATCATTCTGCCTATGTATTATATATTATATATACTTAAATACATGCATGTATATGTATACTTACATATGCTAGGAAAACACTCACCAATCAGGTTATGGAATGTGCTTGTTCTCTTTTCCAGTCTCAGTGCTGACTGATATCCTCCCACTTATCTTTACCGCCTTACTGCAGGAGGTAGAGTTCGCTGTAGGTCCAATCACAATCTCGGCTGAGCGGGCGAAGGCGATCCAGTTTATGGAGCCTTTTCAAAGTGCCCATCTGGCAGTTTTTTACAGAACCCCGGCAGAAAGCTCCAACCTAGTTCGCATGGCAACACCCTTTCACTGGCAGACCTGGACTCTTATAATCGCCTCCATCTTCCTGACCTCAGGGCTGATTTGCTGTCTAAGCCGTTGTAGCCCATTCAGTGCTTGGAACCTACGTCTGTTGGGCGCTGTCTCAGACGAAATTAGTCTTTGGGACAATCTGTGGAATACATTTGAGGCCTTCGTGATGCAGGGTGAGATGTTTTTGGAAAGTGACTTTGTAATAGAAAAAAACGTGTTTCCATGCTAATTTTCTAAATCCCCCTTCTGGCCACGCCTATTCGGCAGCACAGGAATTCTACCCACTTGCTTATTCGTCGAGAATCCTCATGGCCAGCTGGTGGATGTACGTTGTCCTTCTACAGGCCGCCTACCAGGCAGAGCTTGTGGCTTTCTTGAGCAGCAGCGAAGTCATTCCGCCCTTCGAGACGCTTGAGGAGCTGGCTGATGACACAGCTATCATCCCCCTCGTAGCTCGTGGCTCCTATGCTGCAAGTATAATGGAGGTACAGTTTGCTCTCATGAACATTTACTTTCTCATACTCATTAAAAGCCCTATCCGAATGAGCAGAAGTCAGTCTGAGTTGAACATACACGTTAGATTACTTGTCACTGGCCCTGATGAACTAATATATGATACGGTCTTACGTTTGTGGGGAAAACCACCTGGGTCCCGTGGGGGACTTAAAAGTCCGTTTGATCTATCTGGCGAATTTTCGCGTGGTGGCGACATGTGTCAACAGTAGGTAACCGACCCTAGCCGCTTACTATTGTCATTTCAACAAGCTTGGCCGTCAAGGTCGCCGGCTGTGCTGTGGGACTCTGAAAGCCCGCCAGCCACAGTCATGCTAGCTGTACGACCAACTCCAAGGTCAACATGGATGTCGCTCTGATTTGGCCACACAATTCCACTCACCACCTCAACGGTAAGCTTTCCGCGCAGCTGGATAAAATCGTCCTTGATAAGAATGAAGTCCTTACAGGATCGAGGGAATTGTATTGCTGACGTTTTGAAGGGATTGGTCGGCACTCTTACAAACACAACTCTGTCCGTACTCTCTTCCAAACAGTTGAAACACACTGCAGCACACCAGCCGACAAAATAGTTGAGCGACAATACCTCCATGCCCTCTTTCGGGCCAGTGGATACCCAAGCTACTTTATCAGGTAAAGCAAGTGCCGAGTGAACAGACAACGGCAACAGGAAGAGCAACCCGATTTCTGGAGAGCTATTCATTACATTAAATGAGTTTCCGAGACGCTGCGAGGCGGTTTCACGACTGTTATAACCCGCCAGGGAAGGCACTGTCCATGGACACCAGGCAACAATCTGACGTCCTTTGATGCAACCCAAAGACATATTGCCACCCACTGAAACCCAATGAATTGTCTATTAAATACATTGTAACGGTGGAGACTGCAACTACGTTGGGGAAAGCGGACGGAAATTGCAGACCCGCCTGCATGACAGCAAACTGGAGAATAGGATACTAGGCCCAAACTCACAGCTTGAGGCTCACATCGGATGAACTGGCTACAGTTTTGACTTTAAATGAGCAGCCGTCTTAGGCCGGGGTGCCTCAAGGACAGAACGTCTCCCACATGAAGCTTAGTGCTCAGATGTCATTTCCATCAACGGGCACCTAGACCTTCTTGCGGCCTTTAAAGTCCTACTTCACTGCATACACCATGACCAGGACAAGACAGTCACACGGAGCTTACGAATACCGAGCAAACCCCGCCTGTCGACTAATTCGCCTAAAAGGGGGACACAAGCACAACTAACCCCAATTTATGTGACGACACACAAAACAGGAGGTCACCAGCACTTACAATTAACGGCCAGTAGTCCAAGGCAGTGAAAGAAGGGAAAAACAAATCAGCCCAACATCAACTAATTTGGCTGTGTATTCGAAATTCTGGTCGATTTTTGCACTAAACTCTTTGATACTGGAGCGTCGCCCATGCTAGTCGAAACGTCAGCAGTACAATTCCCTCGATCAGGTAAGCGCTTCATTTATTTCAGATTATCGACACGGATCTCTTAGGTTTGCTAACCTGAGCTCAAAATTGCCCTTCTGTTGGCATTTTCACCTTCTAATTAGCAATTAACCTAACCACCGTAGTGGCCACGGTTTACCAGGATTTCAGCTACGGCGATGTGTTCAGACGTTTCCCTACTCTCTGCCTTAGAAGGCCGGTCCAGAAAGTACGTATGGCCGACTCTGGAAACGAACAATAACGGTCTCCGAGGCGGAAGGCATGGAGAAAATTCTCGCCTCTCCGGAGTTCGTCTACATTGACGATGAAGTCACCGCGGGCGTAATGGAGGATGCCGTGAACAGGGGGATATCGAGGATGAAGGAGACATTCGCACACTCCTTCTACGGATTTCCAATCGTCGCAGGAACGGAATACAAGAGGGCCTTTGACTCGTAGTAAGTAGAATTGCTGCCTATTCAGTGTTGCATACCAAACATCGGACGATCTTTTTGCACTCTCTTTTTGCCCACCAAAACAGCATTCGTCGACTTAAAGAGACTGGTATCATCCAAAGGCTGTACAGCAAGTGGTTGGCCCCGCTGAAGAGGCCGGATGGGTCGTCAGTCACCGAGGGATCCATGACTATTGACATGAACCAGAGTTCTGGCACCTTCATCCTCCTCGCCATCAGCGCTCTTGTTTCACTCCTCAGTCTCGGCATTGAAAAGCTGTGGTTCTCAACGCTGCCTGCACTGAAGGCCAAATGGGACAGTCGGAAGGCGTGCCAGTCTGGGGAATAGAGCGGGATAATGGAAGAAGCAGTGAAGTTGGAGACTTCTTTTTAATCTGTGCATTTGGATAAAGTTCAAACTAAAATGCATCCCATAACTCCTCCAGAGGTCTACAGTTCTGTAATCCTTTTGGCAGAGCCAGACATTAAATAATGCATAATGACGTGATGGCATTCAATTTTAAATGGTCCTCACAAAAGAGGTGGCTTAAAATTCGACAGAACAAGTTTTCGGCCATCGCACCAGCAGAAGCCGTGCACAGAAACCTGCCGGCACCCATGTTCGCGGCGATAGTTGACGGCCCCGACTTCCCTGCGCCGTGACTGTCCCCCGTCAAGAATGTTCGTAAAGTCAGATATGGGGGGGCAGGCTGCTGTGGCGGTTGACAGAACAGTCGGTGGACATCCCGGCTTCTTGCACCTACCTTGCCGTATGATCATCGTCCCCGCTCACAATCTCAATGACGACAAATTTGCGCGGCACGGCTTGCTACCTCCGACTTTGGGTCCAACCTTCGCACGACCAACTGATGCCCGTGCATTCGCGCTTGCAACCGTCGGCCGGTTTCCCAGCGTAGTTGCACATCCCGCAGCTGCACTGAAGTCGATACCTACTAAATACTGTTAGACTAAACCGGAACGATGCAGTCGTGTTGCGGGTGGATCTGCCAGACGCCTAACATGAGACCAACTTGAAGCAGTCCCGTACCACCTATCGTTTCATCCCCGAAATTGGCATAGATTTCTGCAGCGTGTATGTCAGCAGCAAAATCGGCGACGGCATAGAATCCCCTTCCTTCTTTTAGTTGCCCATTAACCCCATCCCACATTCACCAGGAGTAAATTCTCCTCGGCCATATTTATAGAAAAATACCTGCGAGTATAGGCGTTCCGCTCTGCCCGTCAAAGTGAACTTTGCCCTACGTACCAGTTCGATACGGTATTACATGTGGCTTTGCACTAAATCCCAGAGAAGGCACCTATTTCCGTGTCCAAACCGTGACTCCCATTCCCTGGAGTCCAGTGCAAGGCCACGGTGGGGAATGCGTTGACTTGCTGTAGGGAAGGATTCCCCAATGTCGACCTCGCTCACTCTTCCTTCCGCAATGCCCAAGCATAGTGCCCGAACCTGCTAATCAGCGGGTGATGTGATTGGTCCACAGCAGCTGACGTGGTGTGAGGGTCTGCGTCCAATGTCTGCCAATATGCCCATGTACGGCCTCTCACACAGACTCGGCGCGGCCCGCTAAACGCGTGCTGTGAGCCAGTCTGGCTCCTGTCTTGGTCCAACACATCTACAGCCCAACCCGTTGTGGAGTCAATGCTCACACACACACAAGAACGGCTTACATAATCGTAATTAGTATCGGAAGTAAATGAATGTGCAGCATTGAGAAGATATGGTATTTTGGAACAAAATCCACCAAAGTTGGCAGACCAAGTCGACACTTTAGGATCTGCAAGAGGGTTCTACTTGCATGTGCCGGAATGAGCAAAATAGCTTTTCTACGAATGACACCTACTATCGCGATCAGGCCTGCCGACTGGACGGTCGTGTTGTTACATTTTCTGAGAAAACTCAATAGGAAGGGGGAGAGATATTTGCAATGTCGCAGCTCAAGCGCAGGAAACAGTCTAATTATCAACAGACATGCCAATCTTGGAATAGACGATGTGGATCTTCGATCAGTCGGTCATTCAAGGTCATCGACCCTGAGGCAGCAAACAGAGCTTAATTGGGGGTCACCTTTGAGAGTTTGGAATATCAGGCGAGTACGACGACGTGGTCACATCTTGTCTTTTTAGCAACCCGCATTGTCATCTTCAAAAGAAGTGCAAGATGGGCTTGTTAAGACAGCAGGTCTCACTCATGAGATATGGGAATCGTATCGGTGCATGACAGACAGACAATCGGATGCAACGATGTCCACGGAATGCTTGGCACAGGACGGTAACTTGCGCGCGAGTTAGTTTACAGTGACAACCGAGTTAAGCAGCATCTACCCACCGGAGACCGATGCCAAGATAATGTCAAAACGACCGGACGTGGTGGTGGACAACGCAAAGTAGCCCGTCCACGCAAGACCCAGTCCGCGCGCGATTAACTAAACTTTAACATCATAGAGGATGCTCAGACGGAGAGGTGCCGTAAGATTGTATTCGTCATCGCAACGCCTCATCCAAACGCCCAATCGTAGACTATGACGAGGCAGGTTCAGGAAGAGGCGCAGCTCCGATGAGACAGATGGAGGGGGGGGGGGTTCTTATCGGTTACGACAAGTGTAATTAAAGCTGGCCGAAACAATCTTCAGGGGGCACTTGGGGCCAGAGAAGCCCGCAGGAAAAGAACGACTTGCGTAAGTGTTTGGGCTTTATTAGGACAAAGGAGTGGAAGAGATCACTTTGAGCTTACAAACCGGGAAGCAACATCGAAAACACCGACGCACTGATCGCCCTCATCATCGTAGTCTGTCCAGTCCTAGAAGAGGAAAAAAATAAGCAATATAAATATGAGTGGGGGTTTCATTCAAACGACCAGCGGACATGGGGACCGACTACGATCGATACGGTCATACCAGTTCGACCGTCGCCTCCGACGTTGTTCACTGTGCGCTCCACAGCAAGGTGAAGCAGGCGCGGTGACCTCCGCGTGAATTAGTTTATGGTGTGTGCAGACTTGCACTGCATCTACCGCACTATCTCCTTGTCCCCACCTGAGCCCGGCGTTAAGAAAGGGTCAAGGAGACTGGAGGCGGACGGAGGACGCAGGTGGATGGCGCGGCCGAGGCCGCACCTTGGCACTCCACTCCACATCCCCTGGTCTACACAACGGGTCAGAAGGAGGAAGACTGGGCAGTCGTGCACATGGCCTGTGTACCCAGCGGGAGCGCAAGCGCACCTAATGGCAGGGGACCACATGCCAGAGAGCTGCCAGCGCATACCAGGCCGTGGGGGCCATGATTAGCTGATCTCGGCATACTAAACGCCTACAGACCAAGGTCATAAAGGAATAAGTAATCACTGAAGAAGTTTGTCGGTCCAGGAGTTAAGAAAGTGTTGCAAAGTGAGGCAAACTCCCGATCCGCGAGTAATTTATCCTCGTCATGTTCAGGGCTCAAACAAACCCTCCCACGAAAAGCATCTGAGTTAATGAGTTGTTCTCTGGCTGACGAAACATACGCCACGCCAAGTGTCTGCACTATAGAAACTTCAAAGACACTTATTTTTGTAATATTATGGAAGGTGGATGCGTGGACTCCCGCTGGACGTTTTTTGCACGACGAGGATGTGGTAAGCAGCAGGTCAAATAAGGTGGCTGACTCGACTCACGCCTTGACCAAGATCCACGTCCTCAAAGACCCTGCTGGAGGCGGATGAGGTAACGCGCCAGCCAACTCTGGGTGAGAAAGCCAGGGGTTGGAGGCCACGGCAGTCTAGCCGCATCATTCTGCTAAACTTCTCGGAAGAGTCATCAGTGTAGGGACTCACGCTTCCGGGGACGATGTCTGAAAGTGGAAGAAAAAAAGGAGGTCAGATCATTATCAAACGTCCAACTGAAGAAAAAAGAACTTAGATTTGAGTACAGTGACCTAAGCTGAGGCAAGGAGGTATTGATTCAGACCCACTTACAATGCTATCAGACAGAAAAAGACTGTTGTCGGAGAAGTCTAACAGAGAAACTACGAGAATACGCCGGGAGTGAGATACGTTATTTATTTCCTAAGGATCAAGAGGACTATCGTGAGGAGAAAAAACAACGACACTATCCACTTGCAACCATACCATAGTTCATACGACGAAAGAGAAAGAATTATTTCGAACTCCAAACAGCCAATCACAGGCAATTAAGCTAAAAAAAACAGTCCCAAATAACAGCAGACAACAGAAGCAGCACAAGTTAAGTAAAGACGTAGACGGTCAGGTGTATGGGTAAAGGCAGATGTGTACCGGCAGAATTTTCACGGCTGCAGAATTTACATTTCAGTTTTAGGTTTGTGGAACTCCTGGAACCCTTCAAAGGGACCCGCTCCTGTGGAAACAAACGCAGTAATTCCGCTCCTGGTAACTTACTCCTTCACAGAGGTATACCCAATCTTCATGAACTTCGTTACAACTAGTGCATTTGACCTGGGAGAACGCATTTAAACGCCAGCAATAAAGAACCTACCTGAATGTACCACCGGAAATCAGACCCGTGGGGGACAACTTCACTAATATTTTCCAATTTTGCACAGAATTCTAGATCGTACACCTAAAATATAGATACAAAGTGCAAGCGTACGAGCACACATAGGCACAACCATTGAGTTCGCAAAAAGCATTTAAGGCGAAAGGGATTAACGGACCAGTTAAGATATATTGGCTGTCTTGCAGATTGTACGCGAGGCCTTAGTGAAGGTCATGTTGAGAGGAAGCCTAACTACAACTTACGAAACCGGCAAAACTCATGGAAGGCACCTAACGTCATTACTTTTGAGCAAGGTAATTACACGGAGCCATTGGCTTGAACCAATACATCCATGCAAAATATGTCACCAGAAGCAGGCGAATATATGATTCGGTGAAGTTGAAACGCGGCTGGGTAAATTTTCACCTAACGCACGGATAATGACAGTCGGTTGTTGTGACTGCTCAAATTTACCACGTATTGTGAAAATGCACGAGCGAGGGAGAAAGGAGCTGGAAAAGACGTTCTGCGAAAAGGCGGCCCTTTGTCTCGCGTGGCCATCAGGGTCACTGTGAAGTTCTCCCTGAGCATCTACATCAAGCATTAAGTATGATGCTGATCACATGTGACATTCGAAGCGGATGAGGAGTATCAGACTGAAGTCGAAGTGGATTAGGGGGTTGCACGCAAGGCATGACGGATTTAAACTTCCTCATCTGTGCCCCTTAGTCCCTATCATCTGCACCTTAAATAGTCGCGATCATGACATCTTGAGTCTTTACTCTCACATCAGTTTGGGTAGGCTTTTGAATGTGAAGAAATATAGAGTTGAGTGTTGCAAGGACTTTTAGGTGCCTGTTCATCTCACCTTCACATGACATATCAAACAGGCACATACTCCGAGAGTTCCCTAATTTAAGATAATTTTGATCTCCGACTACGAAGTACTAGTGTGGTTCGGAATTTTAAAGAAAATCATCCGGAAGAACCATTGGACCCTGCCGGTACCAATGAATTGGCACTTTAGACCGGATAAGGTCATGCCCGTTTTATGCTTATGAATGTTTTTCGTCCAAGAAACATGTTTGCAGAACTTGGGTACCTTTTGCCGTAAGAGAATTCACATATTGTGAGTCTGGCAGAAACGTCTGCAGTTGCAGATGCACTAGAGTCAGAATGAGCTGTCAATGGGGCAGTTGCATGCACTACGCCAACTTTCATTGTATTCCAACCACGAAAAATCGGGAATCCCCAACATGCAGACAACGCAGGTTTCCTAATTTCTGCAGCCAGCGCCGGTCGCTCTTATACACATTAATAAACCATCACAGATGGTTTCCAACAGTTCCATAATGCTTACTGACAAACGTTTTAACTCAAACACGGATGCATTGATCAGTAGGGCCTCGATGTCGGCGCATAGATGGCCAAGTCTTTCGTAAGGATTCTAAGAGTAAGGCTGAAAAATGCGCCATCGTACAGCATCGACTAACGACGGCCGTCTGTGATCGGAATCATCCTGCAACGTTGGGACCACTTAAATGCCATCATAGTGTCAGTGAAACAATTCGTGTAACCTGCTGTCAAGGCTCGAAAAGGACGTCTACTAATTAGTAAAGGATTCCAACACACCAACGGGGAAAACTTTCGAATGCCACAGGATACGTTTGTTTGGTCACACTTCGATTGCATGCAACTGGTGGACTCCGTGTCTTACAAGCTACATCGAGGCTTGTTTGGAATCAGAAAAATTTCGCAATGTGACTTAAGAGGAAAGGGGAAAGGACTCCAAACTCCTATACTTTCGCAGGGACCACAACGCGTAAACCCTGTAGGAACAAATGAAATAGTCAGTCGGACAGATGATGCGAAGAATGGGCTATTATTAAAACCTTCGAGGGCATTCCCGATGACGGTTCATGCCCGAGTTTTTTTCGTAACGTGCTAGCATACCCTGGAGCGGATTACGGATTATCGAGAAAGATTCAAGTCACTGCATAAAAATTTCCAAATAGACAATTTGCCTGCCTCAAAGGAGAGGATGCGGGTCAGTCTCATGGACCTGGACAAAATTACGAACGGCCAGATCCCACAAGTCTGCGTTTTGGGTTGCCAGCCATGATGACGACAGCAAAAACCAATACAATGATTTGTAAATATCGATACTATATGTATTTGACAGTTATCAGATCCTGGGACGGCGCTCGGAATCGATGCGCGCGCGTCAATCAGGCCTTGTACGCAATCACGATAAAGAGCTGACAGGCATATTGAAATAAACTGTACAATCAAAAACAACGTCCGTGAAAGCTAGAAATAAACTAGAGCAAGGTGAGTGTATTATATGCAGTCCCGCGCAACTTTTGGGCCCTGCGTTTAGTTTTCCTAGGTGCCATGAAGTGGCTTCTTGAATAGGGACTTCGAAACCCATGGGAAAAAGCACCGAAGGGGCCACAGAAACAATAGAGGGTCGATTTAGTATAAGACAGCAATATTTCCGTGTACAGCGAAAATTCGATATCTACTCGGCATACATCTGCCAGACAAAAAAGCTATCCTCTCGATACGCGTATATCGTAAATCGGCTACGTTGTGGTTACTGTGGTTACGTTGTGGCTACTGTTGTGGTTGGCACCCTATAGTAAACTGTACTATAGGGTGCCAACCACAACAGTAACTTTGGTCAATGAGAGATCAACATTAATTAATATGTGTCGGTAGTGGCACTGTTCGCAACGAGCAAGGCCTCTTAATGACCTCGACACATGGAAAATAACAGAACCGCCTCAGTTCTTAATGTACATTAGGGATCAGCTGTCAAACAGTGTCGTCTGTCCGCTACCAGTCCAGTCTCTAAGCGCCCCTCTCAAGGTTTCAGAGGAACACTGCAGACGTAAGTTTAGTAACCCAGATCGAATAATTCTACAATTTCGCTTGTGACAGATCGAGTGAGGCCTTGAAACATCACGGGTGAAAAACTGCCAGCATACCGGCATCCTTTAGGGTGCACGCGACTGCCATGACGGCCCAAGTCTATGTAGGTCAGGTGTTATAGGTGTCCTTGAGGTCTCAGGTAATCGTTCACAGAAAAGCATGCAGATGTAGGCTTTTCAATTGCCTGCAGATTCAGAATAAGGTTCTGAAAGCGATATGCGTCGGCCAAATTAAAGCAAGACGCTTAATAGTGTTACAAAGATCCTACGAAACGGTGCTAATAGGGAGAAATGATATGATAGCGGCAGCTGGTCTGAAAACTCCATAATGTAATAAAATAAAAAGTGCACCGCATAAATACAGCAAAAATTCAGTGTACAAGCAATTAAAAACAACTAAGAATGAACGGGTGCTAACAGCTAGGCAAATGCTAGGCGGATGGGCCAAGAGTTAATCGTAAAAGTAAAAAAACAAAAGGGATTTATAAGGTGCGGCACTTCTTATAAAGACAAATAAAAGAAGTCTTTAACACAAACCTTTTTAAAATGGCGCAAAGGGTGAATTTTCCTGTCCTAAATAGACAAGGGATGAGCAAAGATGGACAGATGTACATTTTCCCGGTTAAAAGGGAAACAAAAGTGGAAAGTGTATAATGAATTCATCCGCACAAATCAGGCTCTGTTGTTCTGTATTATAATTTGGTTGAATTTCTGAAATGGTCTTGACTTTTCTGAAACGCTGATTTAGGTCTCTTTGTTGCACTAAATTAGTTCATGGACTCCGAGCACTGCTGTCATCTGAACATTTTTCGGGTAGTAGAATAAAAATTCAGCCACCTGAGCGAGCGCTTCATTTAGTACAGTACCATTAGTTGCTGTTTCAGGAAGCGCTAACACTTGACATCATGCCGAGGGAGAGAGAGAGAAGCCAGGCTGAAGGTTTATTTTATGGGACATGCGGGAACAACAAAAATGTTCTGCATTCTTGTTACGGTGTGTGGTGGACCCTAACCCGTTATGCTTCAGGCCTTCAGGGTAAAACCTAGGTGTCTATATAGCGCCGATTAGCCTTTCCGAGTTTCGATCTACTGCTACGCATGCATGTATTACGTACGTTTTGCCCATGTAGTACATGACTTAGATGTACGCACTCACACCACGACAGCCGCTGCGTCCAATATTGCCACGATGTGATTGGGAGACACGGAGAATCGACAGATAAGTGTTGGGAGTGGAGAGCCCGGGGGTCGAAACTTTCGAGACCATTTTCAGGACATGTCAGTGTATTCCTCATTGAAATTAATCCGCCACGCGTGGTCCATAATAAGGATCCAGGGGTTGCGTTTTTTTGGTTGCCAAATCGCGATATTATGGCGACAATGACGATGTGTAAAGTGCGAAACCATCGTACCTAAATTGTAGAACATAATCAAAAAGAGAAAGCTGGTGGGTGTTCCTAGGTCGAGCATCGTGAAATCTATACTTAGTAGCTCTACTTTGGGTATTGTCTTACGTGCCACACCATCGTAACGTTTATTAACGCCTGTGATTTTCGAAAGTGCTAGGAGTTTGTTCATTGACCGGGAGTTGTCAAATGGCATAGACTGTCCGTGCGTGGGATTAGGCAGAATATGTTATTTCTTCCATGAACTGGAATAGGTTTCATTTTCCAGGGCGAGACTGAATATCTTTAAAAGGAGGGGCAGAAAAATTTCGTTCGCGTCAGCCTTTAAGATACTGACGGGGACCTAATCTGGGTCAGGACTATGACTGCGGCTACGTTCTAGTAGGTAAAATTTATAGGTTCGGGAGCGATATTCGTTTAAACCAGGATGTTCTGGAACAGAGTACTCGAATTCTTAAAAAACGTCAAGTTGGCGTCTACTGCTGAATTTTGGAGAGCGTCTGAAAGGGTTGGCCGCTGAGTCTTACTATGAGCTCTTCCGCTTCGAGAAAGGGTTTCGCGACATTCGATGGGCGGTTTTCCGCGAAGCTGACGTTTTCGGTTGGCCGTTTATCTTTGACCTCACCATAGTCCACTCGGAGATATGGTGGATCAAGAACAAAACTAAACCGTCATGTTACAGATGAAAACGACGAGATAGTAAATGCAGCCCATTGTGTAAAGATAAAAGGAGGAAAACCTCATTTGTGGCATTACATGTTCTCTTTAGCAGACCTAAACCTTCTCACAGCTTAACAGTATAAACTTTCGCTACGTCATCAAGCGTTTGACTGTCAATGAGGAAAACTGAACGAATGCTCACATCTGGTGTTGTAAAAAAGATCGTATCATTGAAGATATCCTGTATGGGTAAAAAGGAGTAGAATATAGATATAGGAATTTGTGGGCAGAATCACTGATCACTACCACTAGCTATCTGAGTTCCTACGACAAATCTATATATGCCATACTGCCGTGTATTCCCGCAGAGATTTTACTGTTCATCGGGTGAGTTTGCCAACCCAGCATGTACATTCTGCCAGGAATACGACCATGAAAGAAACTTGCTGGAGGGTGAAAGGCGCACTGTTTGAATTGAAACAGGAATCCCATTCACAAAAGGGGATATTGATTAAGTGGTTTTAGCGGCTTATATACAAGGTGTGGCGATAATTGAGAATACATTCTGTTTGTTGGGAGGGGTAACAGTCGATTAGGTGGGGTAATTTTTCCTAGAAAAAGTGAATTTATTAGGTTGAAGGGAAATAAAATTGTAGTTATATTTGTCTATGATCTAGGCACTTGCTTTGATTCTCTAGGGACGATTAGTAGAATATGGGTATGCACGTATGAATTTGAATGTTTACATGCAGAGTTTTTAATGATCTTATTTATATACAATGCATTCGGATATTCGAACTCATTATAAAGTTATAGACATTTACAATGTGATCGGATCACCCTACAGTCGTTATGATGGAGAAGCGCACCTGTTCACCGCAAGTCAGTACGGAAAGATCGTGTATGACAGTGTTTTACAGAGCTTACTGTGAGTAGTCATGTTGTAAAAGCTGATTTCTGTCGAAGAAAAACAGCTAGCCGAAGAGGCCCAGTTCATAGATACCGTTTGTTTAATGTCTAGAAATCTTAGTCCCGATAAGTACGAACTCAAAATAAAACGTTGCATTCCACACTTCGAGACGCTCTCGGGAGTCCTACAGCTGATGCCCAATGGACCGCTGATAGTTTCAGTGCTTTCCTGTCCCAAACTTTTATTAAAAACTCGAGCATTCCGCTTCCGACTGTGCAGACATTGACTAAGACACTTTAAGTCAATTAATTAAGGCAATGGGGCTTTTGCCCTTGAGCTCCGTATTCATATCGATAACCAGAAACAGAATCAATAACTACATTAACAAATGCGGGACTCCAAATTTAGCGGTGAGCGTGAGCCAGGCGCCAACTTCCGCCGCGAAAACAATCGTGATTATATGTACAGTAGTTTCCCAGCAAATGAGCATCTAGCCTACACTTAAAAGGACTCGACAGTTTCCGAAAGAACCACTGTATCAGGGAGTCTGTTCCATGCCCCAATGACCCTGCGAGAGAAGGCGTTCCGTCGGGCGTCCGCATGAGCCAGATTTCTCTGCAGTTTGAATGGATGACCACGCAGACTGTCAGTCCTGGCAAATTCAAAGGATTCATTAAAGTCTAGGTCACACTCACGGCCTCTGACGATCCTGTAGGTTTGAATGAACTCGCCGTGCAGTTGCTTGTAAATGAGAGGAAACAGATTTAGTTCGGTCAGCCTGGTTTCGTAAGGTATATGATTAAGATTCTTGACCATCTTCGTATCCGTCAGCCGTTGATAATCTTTCTTCAACAACAGTATCCAGGCCTGGACTGCATACTCTAAGTGAGACGGGACGAATGTCCCATAAGTTTTTCCGAACAGCTCGAAACCATAACTTTCACTCTGTGGGGCGTGACTGTGGTGATTCGGCGTTTTCGTCAGTATCATAGACCTGGACCTCATAGTGTCTCAGTTAGCAGTCAAGAAGCGAATGTTAATTTAATTATCCCATGGCTCTTATGCAAGATATTTAATCTCGCTCTTGGAACTGAGACCTATCCCACCTTGTAGAAGTATTCACACATTTGCCCATGCCCAAGCATGGCCAATCTACGTCATTTGATGACTTCCGGCCCATAAACACCCTTCCCACAGTTTCGGAAATCTTTTCTCAAAGATAAGATGATCTATCACTTAAAAGAGAATGACCTACTGAGCAGTGCACAGCATGGATTCCTCAAAGCTCGGTCTTGTGACACCTGTCGGCTATCTTTCTCTGACCATGTTCTCCAATCTAAGGACAATGGTTTTGCACTTTACAAAGGCTATTTCGATTTCACTAAGGCTTTTGATCTTGTTGACCATGCTCTTCTTATCTTGAAACTGTCCTATTTCGGAATAGGTGGCAAACTTTTGAATTTTATATCCTCTTACGTGGGCACTCGTACACAAGGAGTTGAGATTTCCAATACTATCTCCAACCCCACACGTGTGAGGAGTGGAGTCATTCAGGTTAGTGTACTCGGCCCACTTTTATTTTGCCTTTTCGTTAATAATGTACCCGATTTATTTCAGAATGGTAGGCCTTTCATGCATGCCGATGATCTTAAAGTTGCATATCGATATAAGTCGGCAGATCGTAACATTGTGCTTGAGCTCCTAAAGAGCGATCTACAGGCTTTCGCCCAGTGGTGCCGCACATGGCGCCTTTACCTTTCTTGGCATAAATGCTCAGTCATGGTGGTTGGCGGCGACCACCAACCTGAACTAACTATTGACGGTTACGACATAAATGTGCCTGGGATTATAAGAGGTCTGGGCGTATCGTACTCCAAGAATCCTAAACCATCGGACCACTGCGCCGTGATAGTCTCTAGAGCATGTAGAACGACCGGGTTTATCCTCCAAAATTTTAAAATCAGCGATATTAGAATGCGCCTTCATAACATCTACATTAGACCTGGCCTGGAATACTGTTCGTTTTTATTTACACTTATGCGTGTTTCTGAGCGGAAGAAAATAGAATCCGTTAAACACTTTTTTACC